CTTATGGCAGAAAAACACTTTTAAACCTGGGGCCAGACTCCTGAGGGTCATCAAACAACTGTTTTCACATACCTGACCCCACCTGCCGGACCGGACAGAGATGCGGTAAACAGACGCCGGGGGAGACGAGGCGGCGTACTAGCGCAACTACGGAGGTGTCCGCACAGACCACCACTGCCGTCTATTTTGTTACCTAATGTTCAGTCACTGGACAATAAGATAGACGAGCTACACTGTTGGATCAATGCGGAAAGGGACCTGAGGGAATGCTGCGTGTACACCTTCACTGAAATCTGGCTGAATGCGTACAGTACATCCTGGGCACCACCATCCAGCCAAAGGGGTTCACCGTTTATATTATGTCACACCCCTGGAGGACTCATCGCCTAAATCAACTCCTGCACATTCCAGTGCAGTTTCCATAGAACTAATCAGACACACCTTCTCCCACCTGCCTACTTAAACCAACCTGACCCACCACTCCTTGCTGGGTTTCACCTAGCTAGAACTGCATTGTTCCCTGTTTGCAAGATTTCTAGGTTTTTGGCTCTGACCACTGGCTTTGTCTCTGACTTCGTCTCCTGGATCTTGACTGGGTTATTGTGGATTTACTGGTTTTTGACCCTGACTTCCTGACCCACGTGTTTGGATAAACTCCTGCTGGTACATTTGAGTTCAGGGGATTCTGCTTAGGGTCCTTCTTCCGCACCGTAACAGTTAACCACATGGACAGAAACCACCAAGCAACCAGCAAACACAAAGGAGGAGGCGTTTGCTTCCTGGTCAACAGTAAATGGTGCACTGACGTGGAGGTAATCTCTAAATCCTGCTCACCGAATCTAGAACACCTGACCATAAAATGTCAACCCTTTTATTTGCAGAGGGAGTTTTCCACTACCATTATTACGTCCCTTTACATTCAATCTCAAGCCTGCGTGGAAGCAGCACACAGCGAACTCCACGACATTATCAACAAGCACGAAAACTCCCACCCGGCAGCCGTCTCAGTTGTAGTCGGGGACATCAACCACTGCAATCTGAGGAAAGTACTGCAAAAATACTTTCAGCATGTCACTGTACCGACAAGAGGAGGCAATATTTTGGACCACTGCTACACAACAATAAAAGGAGCATACAAAGCGCTTCCCAAACCAAATTTCGGTAAGTCGGACTACATCGCTCTCCTGTTGCTTCCTGGGTACAAACAGAAGCTAAAAACCTCTCCCATTGCGAACAGGTCAGTGCGTTGTTGGTCTGAGGAGGTGGAAAGCAGGTTAATAGACTGCTTTGATAGTACAGACTGGGATGCATTCAGAGCTCCCAACACAGATTTAAATGAGTATACGGATGCGGTCACCAGCTATATTAAATACTGCACCAAGATTTGTGTACCAGAAAAGAAAAATAGGACATTCAATCACAGGCTAGAAGGGCTGCAGCCAGGAGATTGACACGAACAACATCCCTGCCTGACGAGCTGAACCATTTCTATGCTCTGAACACGGGCACTGCTGAGAAGACCCCAAGTGTGCAGGGTGAGTTTGTTCTGAAACTCTCAGAGCAGGATGTACGGAAGACTCTGAGCAGGGTGAAAACCCATAAGGCTGCAGGGCCTGATGAGATACCAACTCGTGTCCTGAGGACATGTGCAGCCCAGCTGGCCACAGTGTTTATGGACATATTTAATTCCTCCCTGTCGCAGTCCATTGTCTCCACCTGCTTAAAAAGAACACTGTTGTTCCACTCTCCAAAAAGGCAAAAGTGACGTGCCTGAAAGATTACCACCCAGTAGCATTAACATCTGTTGTGATGAAATTCCTGGAGAATGGTATTGTCACACATGAACACCTCCATCACAGAGTCCCTGGACCCCTTGCAGTTTGCCTACCAGAACAACACATCAGTGGATGATGCTGTCTCCCTGGCTCTACATACAGTACAGGAATACCTGGACACTGAGAACTCATATGTGAGAATGCTGTCTGTGGACTACAGTTCAGCATTCAATTTAGTCATACCCAGCCAACTGGTGACAAAGCTCAGGGGACTAGGACTGTGCAACTCTGTTTGCAACTGGCTGCTGGACTTTCTAATCGAGAGACCACAGGTGGTGTGGATATGTAATAAAACGTCTACACCGCTCACCCTGAGCACTGGCACCCCACAAGGCGGCTTTCTGTGTCCAAGGTTGTACTTCCTAATAACCTGGACTGTGAACATGGACATTATCTTGAAGAAGGCTCAGTAGTGCCTCTATTTCCTGAGGTCAAGCAATGGGGGATGCCAGTATCTGCGTTGGTGAACTTCTATCACTGCACCATCAAGATCGTCCTCACCAACGGGATCACTGTGTGGTATAGCAACACCTCTTCTCGAGAGAGAAAGGAATTGCAGAGAACGGCGAATATGGCCCAGAAGATCATCAGCTGTGGTCTCACTGAGATTAACGAGCTCTATGAGGATTGCTGCCGTGGTAGAATTCTGTCCATCACAGAGGACAGTCACCACCCCGGGCATGAGCTCTTCACCCCACTGCCCTCAGGCAAGAGACACAAGAGCATACGTACACTTGCCACCATATTCTTTAATAGCTTCTACCCACAAGCAGTGTGATTGGTGAATGCATTTGGCCATGCCCCTCGGACCACACCTATCTGCAGTCATTGTTTACATTCAAACTGTTTACTTGTTTGCTTGTACATTGTCTACTGTTTGTTTGTATAATGTCTTGATGCACTGTCTGCACTTTGTGTTTTAGAACTTTTCTTAACAATCGAGAGACTTTCTGTAAGTAAGAATTCCATTGTACCAGTACATGTACCAGGTACATATGGCAATAAAGTTCAAGTTCAGGTACAGTAGCATTGGTGTGCTTTTGAACATTAAAATCCTAAAAATCCAACCAGGTGTAATTGCGAATAAGCAAAGAAAGGGTTCTAAAACCAGATACTAGATGTTTTCCAACTAAAATCTGTGGAAATTTTCACAAATAGAGGTTGTTAAAGTGCCCGTGGCTTGAAGGCTCTGTGTGTTTTGCTCGCAGTTCTTGACAAGTAAAACATCATGCCTCAGAAATGGGCATTTTAAAAAGAGGGTTGTGAAAACAGTGAAAAATCACTCTGAACAAAAAACAAGCAGTTTGAAATTATTTATTATTCATAAATTAATACTATAAATAAGAAAGTTCAAAGCATTAAGAAACATTATTATATTTTGGTTCTTTTTATTTTTAGCTACCACTCTTCTCCACTTTTTTGTAGTTTTTCATTCTCAAAGAGATTCAGCCTTGTCTAATTTTTTTTTTCATTTTTCTTTCAGTGGTCTTTTTAATATCACTTTGTTATGCTACTTTACAATTACAATCATGAAATACATGTGTACCGTTTCCTTTTAAGGTTTGTTGTAAACCAGTTTTTACTCCCTGCTATTGACAGTATTCACTTTTGGTAACTCATTAATGACATAATGTTATTTTTAATATTTAGCATGTTGTGATATATAAAAGTAATAAAATGTCAATATAGTGTACATATAATTTACTAGTTTATTTTTAGAGGTGTCTTTATTGTGTTAAAAATAACACTTGTGCCCTGACTGGGAATCAGACTTGTTGACAGGCAAGTACTTTACCACTGTACCAAAGCGTCACTTGGTAATGAAGTTAAAATAACCACAAGCGAACAAGTCAAAGAAATTGATGCAGATTTGTATGAAGAAAATATGGTCCTAATACCAACTGAATAAACATATTATATTTACAGTAGGTCCATAAATTAATAGCATTAATGACATTCAGAAACTATTTTTATTGTCAGCTGCCAAAATTTCTTTAGTTACATGATTCCACATTAAGTACATTTTAAAACGTACTTCAAAGTTTTTTTACTACAATAACGACAGCAACTATTCATAGAAAAGTTTAAAGAATTCTTGCTTTTTGTAAAGTACATAAACTTCAAGTGGAGAAGCAGGGGTTGGTGTAGTAGAGACAAGTAGCACACGGACTGCATGGAGAACCCAAGCCTCCGGGGCATGAAAACATAAACATGCCCCCTTGATTCACCGAGAGGCGCTGCCTCGCGACTGGGAACAAATCCCTCAACAAGACAGAGAAAGAACCCCTGACTGGAGCAATCACTTTGAGAGGCATTGAGAAGGAAGAGAAAGCTGCTTGAGAAGGAAGTGAAAGAGTCGCTTTGGAGGTGCTGCCTCACAACTGGGAGCTGGAGAGGAGGGGTATCAGTAGGTTAGACCTGCTGAGTGAGGGCCAGCAGTCATATCACCCTGCAACTCACAACTGGCAGCCCACTGAAGCTCAGCAGGTGTGAGCCTGGTCAGTACCTGGATGGGAGACCTCCTGGGAAAAACTAAGGTTGCTGCTGGAAGAGGTGTTAGTGGGGCCAGCAGGGGGCGCTCACCCTGCGGTCCATGTGGGTCCTAATGCCCCAGAATAGTGATGGGGACACTATACTGTAAAGAATCGCCGTCCTTCGGATGAGACGTAAAACGGAGGCCCTGACTCTCTGTGGTCATTAAAAATCCCAGGCTGTTTCTCGAAAAGAGTAGGGGTGTAACCCTGGCGACCTGGCCAACTTTCCATGCCTCCTAATAATCCCCCTCTATGAATTGGCTACATTACTTTGTTCTCCCCCCCCCGGTGGAGCGACGCGCCGTTTGGAGTATTTCTCGGTTGCAGTTAATGGCAACGTCAGCTCAAAGATTTGGTTCAAACCCCCAAATGGAGACTGGTGTGCCGACAAGCAGACCCTGCTGATGTGGGATTAACGCTAGGAAAGAGAGAGCTGCTGAGTGAGGCCAGTGAGGCCGGGGGTCCCCTTTGACTTACGCTGATAGAACCTCCCCAGGAGGGGTCAAGCTGGCGCTGCCAGCCTGAGGTCGGGGCAGTAAGCTTCACTGACCGCCCAGAGGGAACCTGTGTGCAGAGGCAACACGACAGAAAGAGGAGGAAGAGGGAATTCAAAACTCTAGATGTGCATGTTAGCGGGGTTAGGGCTTAAATGGGAAAGAGAAAATTGAATGATAGAGGAAGGGGCAGAGTGCTCCCAGCTTCTCCCCTCGAACTTTCACCTGTCGGTTTCCATTTAAAATAGTTAGAACGAGCACGTCAAAACTTTTCCAAAATAACCACAGTAAGTGACTTAAAGATTTTGATGCAGAAAATGTTTATGAAGAAGGTGGAATACTGTTGTGTACTTTATTTTTTTAAATTTATTTTTAGCTACCACTACCAGCTACTGCTAGCTGGCATGTACATTAGGTATAATATGTTTATATTCACGACACACCTGAAGAAGGCTCCATGGCCGAAACGTTGTGTTCTTTCTTTTTTTCAGCATAAATCTATTACTTGTTCCTTTGCAGCCTACGCATGCTGACGCAGCTACCCACCTGAACTACTAATATTATTAACATCGTCTATGACATTCAGAGACATTATACTTCTGTTGCTTTTATCTTCAACTACCAAAATTATATTACATCATTTCATATTCATTTTCCATATTAATGTAGGGAAACATTAAATGAAGGAATCTTTTCAGTAACATCTAACACACGACAGGTGCCACCTATTGATCGTCTTTGGCCTGTGAAACATCCTGCCATGCTGCAATGCCATGCGGTACAGCTAATGCAGTAATCAGGATTAACACATGTTCTGAGCGGCTGCAACTGTAAATCACATTTATATTCTCAGGCACAAGTGAATATGTATTTATTAACATGAACTTAATGTCAAACGTGTTTGGGGTAATATGTCAGTTCTGCAGAATTCTAATATGAATAATGAAATTTAATACCCAAAGATCCATTGTACAAACATCTTTGATGAGTTTAAACATCACACTGGTAAATAACTGGGTTTGTCAGTAGCTGCAGAAAAGAGAGAAAGCTTTTCCTTGCGTTGTCATCCTGGTGTCTTGGAGAAAAATTTAAGGCCTGACTTGGACTGCTTGCAGTCACATGGTTGTAGAAGTCAGTTTTCCAATTTAGATATTTCAATTCCGTGGTTAGCCAGCAACTAGTGAAAAGCAGGACTCACAAACTGTTTTGCAGGGATGAATCTCCATTATTTATGTACTTTCATGTGAAACCTCACAGTCTAAAAAAATGTCCTCGCACCTTTTTATTCCTCCTTTGTAATAAGTGTTAGAAATAAAACCCCTTTTATTCCTGATGCTTATTTACAGTATATGAATACAGTATAACTACAAGAGTTGCCGTTTTAGCCTTTTAAAAGGGAACATTAGGAAACAATTGCATTTTCTTTAAAAAGATTTAAGCATCATGTCACCATACTTTGTAGTGGAGTCAGTATTTTCTTTTAAACCGAAGAAGTAATCTAAAGAGTTTTTCATAATATGGAATTCAAAAGACTTCTATAAGCTACAATGCAAATTACAGTACATGACAAAGTCATTCAAATCACTACTCAAAGCCTTAATCTTAAACAACTGTAATCATTGTATTTAATTAACTTGTCTCTAGTACTGTATTCATACAGCATGATTAATACAGGAAAGCACTAATAAGTTAATAAACATTTAATACTGTACCAATTAGTCTGCAGCTGTGGTACATTAAGGATTTACTGCGCATCCTGGCAGTTTTACAGAGCAGTGTAGTCCTGTATTGGATTATTTGAAAACGGAAAAAAAAGTCTGTGTCTGTGACACCTCAATATCTACTGCAGCATACCTACTGAGTAAAGGTAGTCCCAGGTTCACGCTAATGGTGTTGGGAATGTTTTTGCTCACGGTATTACATTTTGTGGGGGTTTTAGTGTCATCTATACATTTTAAACCCTAGAAATTTTGGTATTTAAGAGATTTTAAATAAAATGCTAATCCTCATAAATGAGGATTGTTTTGATTAGTTTTATTTTATAGTGGTCTGACATGCCATACCAAATGTTTGAACTGTCACCATAGTGTTCAAACAAATGCAAGTGATACCAGCCCTTAATTTCAGTTTCCAATCCTTGAGTCAATTACTCTCTTATTCAAAAACACAGAATAAACCATTGATTCAGCCAAAAAAACACTGTTTTTAGGTAGTAATTTCATTTGTGTTGATCATATACTGTATGTTTGTCAATGTGTCTATCAAGCTGCTGTGAAAGCTTTGTTAGCCCAAATATCCCTGTCTTTTAATGAATAGTGATGCTTACCTGTTTTTATTTCTCAGTCATCTTCTATTTCTCGAGTATAGTCCTGCCTGGCGGGCTGTGCTCCAGGCTGAGATGATTTACCAGGAATCCATGGCTGTCAGATTAGTGGATTGATGGGTCAATTCTTGTTCCTACTGTATGATTTCATCAAACCGTAGATTTGTCATGTTACTGGATCTTTCCTTTTTGTACATTTCTGCTCCCTGGACATTGAACCGGAAAGAATCTGTTCTAACCTTTTCTTTTCATTTGGTAATTGTAGGATCAGAAATAGCTGGGATGAAGGATACAAAGGCAGAAAGAGAAAAACAGTCTGAATTGGAGGAAAGATTCTTGATTCTTACCAAACATTCTCACAATGGTATCATTGATATGGTATGATGGAGCCTGCTAGCAGAATCTGTATGTTACTCTGTACCCATATAGTAGTAGGAGCTGTGAACTCCTGCTGAATTCACAAACCTTCACGCTTGCTTGAGCACAGATGCTTCTCCCCTCCTGTACTGAACTCCCATCTTCTGTACTAAACTCCCTGATGGGGATGGAATGTTTATACTAAACTCCTGATAATGTTTTAAGTATTTTCTGAGTCCTGGAGTTTCTTGAAAAAGCTACCTCAAAGACAGGAGGTGGAGGGTGTAAAGAAAAGTATATATAAGCTGTGTAGAGCCATATACCCTTTGAACTACTATAGATACTATTATACTATTATGGTTCCTTGCATGCAAACAATAAAGCTTGTCTTGACGAACGGACACTTCAGGCTCGAGTCTCTTGGTTTCTACAGTTAAGAAAGTTTTGATATAGTGTTTGGGTAAAGAGTCCAGATATATTTCTAAAACAACTTTTTATATCATTTTTTCAGGAGTCAATTAGGAACATTGACAAACCAGAAGCCATCATATTTAAAGATGAGCTTACCTTCACTGGCACAACTAAATACTACATTGGAGATGGAAAGGATGTGGATGAAGACCGTATTTTTATCCGGGTAAATAAAGTGATATTTTTAATGTTAAACATACAAATGATGATGCAATAATAATAATAATAGCTTACACTTATATAGTGCTTTTCCGGACCCTCCACTCAAAGTGCTTTAGAGGTAATGGGGACTCCCCTCCACCACCACCAATGTGCAGCATCCACCTGGATGATGCGACGGCAGCCAAAGTGCACCAGAACACTCACCACACACCAGCTATCAGTGGGGAGGAGAGCAGAGTGATGAAGCCAGTTCATAGGTGGGGATTATTAGGAGGCCATGATTGGTAAGGGCCAATGGGAAATTTGGCCAGGATGTCGGGGTTACACCCCCTACTGTTTTCGAGAAACACCCTGGGATTTTTAATGACCACAGAGAGTCAGGACCTCCGTTTTACGTCTCATCCAAAGGAAAGAGCCTGTTTACAGTATAGTGTCCCCGTCCCCATACTGGGGCATGAGGACCCACATGGACCACAGGCTGAGTGCCCCCTGCTGGTCCCACTAACACCTCTTCCAGCAGCAACCTTAGTTTTTCCCAGGAGGTCTCCCTTCCAGGTACTGACCAGGCTCACACCTGCTTAGCTTCAGTGGGTTGCCAGTTGTGAGTTGCAGAGTGATATGGCTACTTGCAATGATACATTTAATTCTTTAGGGACAAACATGATGCTCCACTTTTTGCAAAACTTATTCAAATAAACAATACCAAAGGCAGAATGAGACCTCAAGTTGTCTCTCTCCATGCCATTTAATCAAGGTCTCATTTGGCAAGAGATTTATGGAACCTGACTTTTGTAAGAGAGGTCACAGTCACAGATGTCATACTCAGGCGTTTTCCATCTCCAGCACATTCTCCAGGTCCTTCTGTGACCAACTAATAGCAGCAGAAGCAGGAAAGTAATGTCTAAGATTTCCCACTCATGACTTGGAATGGAGGCAGCTGTTACTGACGGTCAACAAGCCTTTGCGTTTCAGCACTTTTTCCGGATCCACTCTGCTTACCTCCGAGTGATAGGAAAGATGGACTAAACATGATCTGCCACTACACAATACCCAAATGCAGTGGGATCAGCTTTGGTCAAACAAAACACAACAGATTGAAATTGGGGGTTTGAATCATCAGAACGCTTATGCATTCTGAATGCAACACTGCTTTGTGGCCTGATAACTCCCAAGATATGACCCTGACAAGATATGATAACTCCCAA